CAATCCCCCGTTCTTTCCTTTCAAGGTCTTCCAACCCCTTCGAAGTTTGCAATGTTGTGGGTATAAGAATAGGTTTCCAGTTGTTGTAATAGACGCATCTAATCTTCAGAACTCAGACAACACCGTCGGCGAACAGAAAGTCCAACCTGTGAGCTTTTCAAGATCAACAACTGTCAGCAGACGGTAAAGCTAAGAAAAAAATTCCACATAGCATTTTTCCTCCTCACACGAAACAAAAAAAAACAAGACTGCTTTTTGTAACACCCCCCGAAAAAAAAATCAATGCAAAAATCCGAGAAGAACGAATAAAATTGTCTCTCCGAATTCCTTCTCGACTCGTACAAATACTCCGAAAATGTGAATACTGCTTACCTTCAACGTGTAAAACGAGTAATCTCATGGCATCCTTAAATCATTTTTGGCCACCAATGTGTCTGGTTAGTTTCTGTAACTAGTATCTCTTAGCGATGAATTATCTTCCCTTGTTCTCCCAATGCTGTACCACCCATGTCTGTAAGTTTGCACCCCCTGACCCGTGTCTCCTAGTCTTCTGCACGTTTGTCAAAGTCCCACTGTCGATTATTAGATACAAAGTGAAAATAGGACATGATCAGTACAGTTTGAATAGGGCCAGATGGTACATTCATTACTCGCTCGGCGTCACATCAGACCCTGGCAGTCAGAACAGTGCTGTCAAAATAACTGCGGAGACCGACCGCCCCCTATGTCGAAGGTAACCTCGGCAGCCGGACACAAGGCCCGGTTTTATTGTCCACCGTCGCTGGTCGAACTGTCTCAGTCTTGAACAAGGGACACGGAGACACCAAGCCAGCCACATAAACAAATTCAACGGCCACAAGAAGAGATGATGTTACATCTCGGGTCGTAAAAATACATTTTACATCGTAGGGCCTACGTGTAAGCGACGGAAGCTAGATGAAAATAGGAAGTGTCATTTGCGTCACAACGTAATTACACGGGTGTTATTCGTGATACAAAAACAGTTAATGTATTAATTCTGACGTCTTACACGGGATAAAACAAAACAAAACAAAACAAAACAAAACAAAAACCTTGACGTCTTCATTTCTTCGACACGTGGCAGATCCAGTCTAAACTCTAAGACGACACGAAGCCTATTAGAAAGACACTAAAGATCAATATTCTCGAAAGTCTTCACTCTCAGGCATCGCTCACGTCCTATCCTGATGGGTCATTGAGGGTGATCGGGTGCGTGTAAAATACTAAGTATGAGGGACTTACCGCTCTTATCCCTGTAACAGCTGTCGGAACAAATGCTTTGATGAAAAACAACTCAGCTGCAAGATAGGGAGTAGATCTATATTGGAGAAATCGATGAGTTCAGTATGTATGCATCAAGCCTCCCTTTCCCAAGCCCGCTCCCTCTTATTTTTCTAAACAGAAAGCCCTGACCTGTCCCCGACAGTCGTTCCAAAATCGCCGTGATGTCACAGGCTGCTATTTCAGCCGTCTCAGAGAACGCTCGTTCAACAACTATCCAATAAAGAAGTTTTATTATACGCCTGCTTAAATTGGGCCTCTAGGCGCCAAATTTTTGTCTCTGGGACTATAATAATAAATTATTGCTAGTGAAACATTTAAATGCGCGTCTCGAGTCCAGGATCTTCGAGTAAACACAAGCAATATTATTTTTATAACATGAGGTTGTTGTTGTGTTTTTTTTGGGGGGGTGGGGGGGGAGGGGTTGCCTGATGGGCATTTCAGTAGTACCGCTTCCTCCTTTCATTTCTTTTTCAGATTTACAATTGTCTCATTCTGCAACTTCGTGAAAAGTAGCTTTATACATGTCAACGTGCCTATCGTTTGAACGCTTTTCTGTTTGAAAAGCGCAGACCGCCCACCTCCGATAGTTTCAGACCCAATATTATTTTATGTGTCTACTATGAGTTCTCAAAACAAACACATGTTATAGAAGACTTGGGGGCCTCCCCGAAATAAAATAAAAAGGGG